CGCCCCGCCCGGTCCCCACCACCTGGAGGTGCCTCTCTTCCGCTGCCGCGGCGGGGACAGGGTCGCCCGGAACCGCAGCTCCCCTCTTTCCTCTCCGCCTCGCGTCTCCTCGGTCGCCCCTCTCCACTTCCGGCGCGGGACCCCCACCCCGAGTCCCAGCACACCTTCACGCGCCCGCAGTTTTGGGCCTTCGCGGGGCTGAGTCACTCGCTGCCCGAGACTTCCCGCCGTGACCTGGCGCCTCCCGGGCCCACCTCCGGGTGGTCTCAGGGTCGGCGCCCCTGCCCCGGCCCCACCCCGCCCACTCCCTCGTGTCCAATCCGGCGCCGAGTTCCAAGCCACGCCCTGATCCGACCCGGCTCCCACCGCCGCGACCCCAGCCCCTCCTCGGCTTCGCCGGCTTAGAGCTGCCGCGCGCCGCAGCCTCCCTTGCCCCGCAGACCTCTCTGGCCCCAGCTGACTCTCTGGCCGCAGTCAGGTTTCTCGAAGCCCAGCCCCCGGCAGCGCTGTTCCCTGCCCGGCCCACGCCTGTGGCGGCCCTGGACTCCCACGGCCCAGAGCACACAGCCCCATTGTCTCGGTTATCTGCACTTAGTTACGTTTGTTTGATTGTGCAGGACCGGATCGCACGCTGAGCTCCGGGAGGGCCGGCCTGGTGTGACTCAGCCAGGTGCCCAGGCCCAGCCTCTACTGCATGTAGGTGCTTGGGGTGTTCTGAGATGAAAGAAAGGGGGCTTTGGTTTCCCTGGTCGGTAAAATGGGGCGAAAGGATGCTGCCTCACCGACCTCTCTCCTGTCACCCTTCCCTGGCAAAGAAAGACACTCAAGGTTATAAAGGACACAGTTTATTCAGAGGCCGCCAGACCCCAGGCTGGATGTTGAGTCTGGGTTGCCCACACCCTCCAATATCTGGTCACTTGGGATCAGCTAAGGAGGCAGACAGAGATGGGGGAGTGGCAACAACCAAAGTAGCAAAAAGCACCCCTATCCTAGGGGTCAGAGACTAGGGTGGACCTCAAGGACCCCATGATCTGTATTGACCCCGAGTGACCTCTGAACCTGAGTGGCCCTGTCGCTTGACATTGACCTGTGTCTAGCGGGGGGGGGGGATCCTGGTACATTGCTGCTGAAGGGTTTTAGTTCTCCCCTAGGCCATGTAGTCTTTCCCCATAGGAACTCTCCAGACACCCCAACATTGAACTCCTGGGATGTTGGGCCCATCTTCACAGTCCTGGGCTTCTTGGTCAGAGTGCTGGGACAGTCAGAAATGGTCCTCAGCTTCCTCAGGCTGGGTGCCTGGGCAGCAGGTGGCCTTGGGCACAGACTCGTTGTGTAGCTTGGAGAGTAGCCGGGCCGTCTCCTGCGTGATCTCAAAATGCTTGGGCAGTTGGGTGCGGCGCAGAGGGCTGCCCTCACGGGAGGTGGCGGCAGGGCCGGGTCTTGGCCTCCGCAAGCTCCCTTGGGGCACTGATGTGACAGGGGTCTCCTCGCACAATTTGGAAGCCACCAGGGCCAAGCAGGACAGCTGGTGGGTGACAGGCCGTACACCCCCCCGGGGATATTTCACTGGCTGGCGGCTGAAGTGGCCACGGGACTGTGTCCCCAGGGGTGAGTCCTCAGGGCCTTGGCTGGACACTGTGGGATAGGGTGGTCAATGCTGAGCACCCCTAAGTCCTCTGGATACACCCCTCCCCCATTGTCATCACTCAGCCAAGCTACCCCAAGGCAGGGGCAACCCCAGAACCCCTGAGCTACCCCACAACACACTCACCTTCCTCTCCCTCATTTTTGGTGTCTTTGGTTACTTCCTCTTCCTGGTCCCTCTGCAGAGTTGGAATCTGCAAGAAGAAACCCAAGAATGAGACCTCCAGCAATAAAATGCCAGTTCTTTGAGACTTGTAGACATGCAAAAGTTCCCTTGCAGTTTTGGTATCTGGGGAGAGATGATGCCCTTGAGAGTGTACTGCTTGTCCTCCTGTGAAGAGCAGTGTCATTACTCTCAACTGTGGGCTCTCTGAGGCCGGGAATGCCTTTGTTCAACAGAGGACCAGCCCGGAAAGTGACAGCCTTCTCTGCATTAGGAATGTGTGAACTACCGGTCTTCATCCTGCTCTACTTTCTACCGTTTCAGGCCTGCTTTTTAGCTTATCTGAATATCTTTTAGTTCATCCTTTAGCTAAATGCTAATAGCAGTTGGAATTCTTTCTCTGTGTCCGAGCACTTTCTGAGGTATTCCAGTTCTCAGAGTCCCACACCTCACCAGCAGCAGCTTTCCCAGCTCTGGGGTGCTGCAGGGGAGATCCTAGCTCTCGGGAATGGTGAGTGTATCAGGATCTGAGGGTCAGGAAGCCTCCCCTAAGAGTCTCATCTGTAAATGGTTTTCATTAACAGTATTTATCTCTTAGGGCAATTACTATGCAAGCACCCCTGCATTGTAGGCGTGCAGTCTATGGAGGCTTGCACACCCCTCTTTGGCCTCACTTCCTTCCACCTTCCCCTCACTCATTCATTACAGCATGGGGCTGTGCCCTGAACACACCAGGCATGGTCCCACCTCAGGGCCTTTGTACTGGCTGTTCCCTTTGCCTGGAACACCCTTCCCCTGATCGCCACCTGGCTTACTCCCCCCTCACATCCTTCCAGTCTTTGCTCAAACCCATCTTCTCCATGAGACCCACTCACAGCATCCTATTTACTGTTACAAACTGCCCACCACCTCTCACCTTGGTGCCCTTAGAGGTCCCCTACTTTACCCTACCCTTTCTTTTTTCTATAGTATTCATCACCTTGTAACATCCTGTATAACTGATTTTGTATCATATTTCTTGTTTATTGTTGGTTTCTTTCCCACTAGAAGGTAGGCAACCAAGAGGCTGGAGTCTTTGAATATTTTGCAAACTGATGCCTAGAACAATGCCTAGAACAACGCTTGGCACATAGTAGGCGTTCAATAAATATTCTGTTGAAGGGATGAATGGTACTCATGTTAGTATCTCTGCAAGGCTCTACCCTGTTGTTACTCCATTATTTCCCACCACTCCATTCCTTACCTTTCCTTTCAGAATGAGTGCAGGGTAAATAAGGAAAGGAGAAAGGGAATGAAATAGAAAAATTTCAAGGGAAAGGAAGGAAGGAAGACAGGAGACAGAGTGAGAGGATTAAATGGAGAGAAGGCTCTCCCCATGTCTGTGGGCCCAGCAGGTTCCTACCTCTGTGGGCGTGGTCTCAGGATGCTTCTCCAGGGCACTAAAGGGCATGGCGTCTGGGTTGGGGTCTGAGGCTAGGGATATGGGCAGGGCGTCCAGGGGAGGTTGTGAGTATGGTGGCTGGGGGCTGGTTGGGAGGGTCGTAGAGGGTGGGCTGGGGTCTTGGGGCAGGGGCTCAGTGGCCAGCAGGAGGTCATCAATCCTGAAGATCTGCTCATAGTGTACAATGAGGAACTCGATGAGCTGGGCCTGGTGCACGGAGTCTAGCAGGCAGGTGACGGGGCCGGCGCTGGCTACCCCTGGACCGTCCGGCAGCCGCAACAGTGTCGGCCCAAACACAATGCCCAGGTTGTTGGCAGACATCTTGTTGTCCTCATACTGTGCAGCCACCCTGGGGACAGTGTGAGGAGAAGGGTCAGGGCACAGAGGGTATGGTTATTGGTCATTGGGTAGGATCTGCAAGCCAGGCTAGTGGCGACTTGCCCAAGTCATGGGTAAGTGGTCCCAGTCATTGTGTACGACCAGCAGCCACATGCCTGGCGATGGGGGTCAGGGGTCAGCATCCAAAGTCAGGAGTCATGTATTAAGTTTCAGAGCTCAGAAAACACATTCAAAGGTCAGAGGTCAGGGGTCAGTGGTCACATGTCCAAGGAAGGAGTCCTGGATCCGTTCCTCAGGTCAA